CGCTGTATTATCTCTGGGTACGAAGTTCAAAAGTGTTTTTCGCATTCACTATTGTGAAAATTTATTTACAATAAGGAAAAATATCGCGTCACGACTTTTGAATTTAGTCTTCAAGTCAAGCTTTAAAGCGTTTTGCCGTCCAAAAGTCGTGACGCGATATTTTTAGTCCCAAAAAATGAAATCCCAGAAAGTTTGAAGCCAATCGGAGTCGATTTTTCGGGCACCTCCCATACAAAAGTGTCAATTTTTTGAGGTTTTTCTTAGGGCAAGTACCCCAGGATCAAATCAAAAATGGCTCATCTTCGAACTAAAACTAAGTTTATTGGATACAAAACTTTTGGGACTTTCAGATTTTGATTATCTCAATTATTTTTTGAGTTATCGTGTTAACAAACACCAACACCAACGACGACGACAACGACGACGATGGCACACGAACGGGAAAGTGTCTTAAAAAGTGGTTTTCTATGCGTTTCATGAGTTTTTATGATGATCTAAGCTAATTTTGCGGAAAAAGTTTTCGGGACCAATTCCTATACTTTCCCTTGACACGGTGTGTACGGAAAAGTAAAAATTTGAAACAGCCCAAAAAATGGGAAAATCGGCCAACCTTTTTGGGACTAAAGTTGAACTACTTATGGATAAGCATAACACAATTTTCTTGCTTTTTAAAAGTGCAACATTAATTCTCTTCGCTTGAAAGTGAATCGTAAAATATATGTGGACTAAAGAAATCGTGTTTCACTTTAATTAAAGCAAAAATGTTCGAACACAGGCAAAAATCGAAAGAAGTTTATAATTTTTTTTCCGATTCTAATATAGTATTGTGTCTGCCCAATCCATTGGTGTTATCGGCACATTGAAATTCGCGCTCCTTATCACTTTATTAACACTCCAAAACCACATCACAACCAAAACCACCATTAAAATGAATCACCATTCCAATGGACTTGAAAGTGTACTCAACAAAATCCATCGCACAGAAAGCAGTTGTGCAGCCGTGCTGTTTGCACATCGGACTTTTTCGCATGCACATCGTCGTTCATCGTGTTTCATACAAACGAAATCAGCACACAGACACACGCATGTATGCGTGTATGTATGCGCCGAATGCTCAAAGCCGAGTTCCGTACGAAGCATGGCTACAGTGATGGAATGAATTACTAGAGAGTGTTCGGCACATAAGAAACACTTTGCCGTCTCAACAAAAACTATACTTGTTCAAGTTTTTGAATTTTTAAGTACATTTAAGTTATAAACAGCAACAAAATAAACTTTCGTTCTTTTTAATTTTGTAGGTGGACAATTTTATTTTTGGGCATTTGAAAAGGACTAAACAAAAAACGGTATCATCGCAATCATGTCCATTAGTGTTGAAGTTAAATGCAACCGGGCTCGACTAGGAGCTAGTCCAGATGAGCATATGCGATTCTTCACCGAAATGTTGGGTGATATTGACGAGGCAACCTTGCCATTTGGTCTGAGCGATGTTACTCTTGGAATTGGGATTCACGAAGCCAAATTGAAGCTGCCACAGACGCTCAATGATCAGCTACGTGAGCACGTTCGGAAGTCGCAAGTAAGTCTGGCTAGTATTTGTCATTTGGCTTGGGCACAAGTGCTTTCTCGATCTAGTGATCGTGAGGCGGTAGTCTTTGGTACCGTGCTACTTGGCCGTTTGCAAACCGGAGAAGGGAACAATGATATAATGGGACCGATGATTAACACCCTACCGATTCGGATAGATGTTGATGAGAGAAGTGTTGAGACTGCAGTACGTCATACCCATGCTCGGTTGAGTGCTTTGCTGACGCATGAACACATACCGCTTGAGTTGGCACAACGCTGCAGTGGGTAGCAGGTTTGTTGTAGGTTAAAAAATTGTAGGTTTTAGCGAGAGTTCTGCTCTATCGCATATGGGGTACGAATTTACAAAAAAATCCGTATAAATGTATAGAAAAATATCCAAAGTGATTCATAGATTCAATTGAATAGGAAGATTTCATTCTTTGATACAAATAAAGACTTTATTTAAAATTTGAATATATGAGCAGGTTTGCCACTATTCAGCGCAATACTAAACTACCGCCATAATCACAAGAGTGGTCAGGTCACTGCATCACTTCCTGGAGTAACCTTCTTTGACCGTGAGGGGCGGACTAATTATCCGTTAACTATATCGCTTGATGACAACGATGTTGCTTTGCATCTTTCTGTTCAAGCATTTTCACCAGTATCTGGAATCACTAGCCGATGCGCTAACACAAACGCCTCAGCAACAGCTTAGGACATTAGAAGTAATTCCACCGGAAGAAAGAACAATGCTGGTGTATGTGATTTTTTGATGTACCTCTCGAACAAAAAATGATAATTTCATAACAAAATCCTTAAAAATCATCACTTTTGTTCGACAAATACCTCAGAAAATCACTTTTTGGAGTTTTTGTCTGAGAAGACTGCCCATATTTTTGAGAAAAAATAACTTTCCACCAAGACACCAACCATGAAATGTGGATACTTGGAATTTTTTGAACAAAAGTCGATTTTTCAAGATTTGAAATTGAACCAACCGAATATGAGCCCAGAAATATATGAACACATCACTTGATCTGGTCATATGGGCACTCAAAATGTTTGTGAGAGATCACACTAGAACTTGAAAGGCAGCAAAGGCAGAAATTGTTTGCTCAGTGAGGTAATATCACTGTTAAACCGAAGCTCATGGGCGTATTTTCCTCATTTTGCTTAAAATAGACTCAATTTACGACACAAAAATCACATAAATCTATACAAATGAAACCGGAAATCAATTTCACGTCAAAAATTAAGTGGAAATAGCTCTTCAGATGTTTCAAATTCGAAAAAACGGACTTGTTTAGCTATATATAGCGTAAAATGGCGACTTTTTGGCCATTTCCGAGTATATTTGAGCCTCTCAAGCCACCAAATCACTATTTTATGTGCATCTTATGATCAGACTAAATAAAGTCAATTTTGGCCATGCATTTGAGGTTTTTCGAGGGTCCAGAGTTGAGTTTTTGCGGAAAAGAAGCCAAAAAATGGATACTTGGACGATTTTTGACCTACGAAGGCGACAAAATCGCGTTGGAATGATTCTAAATTTACTTATTTTTATGTAATTTTTCGCGATAAATCCAAATATGATAGTTTGAATGGATGAAAAGTGGTTATTTTTCGAGATATTTCAACGAATATTCTGAAAAAATCATCAAAAAATGATCCAGATAAAAATTGAGTGGGGATTGTGGGAATCGACTTTTCTGGATATGCCCCAAACAAAAGTTTCTTTTTTTGAGGTGCCCAAACGAACACGCAGTGTCCATTTTTGAATTTGTACGATTTTAAAAATCGCACTACCTCAATATGTATTGATAGAAAACCCATAGGTTATTCAAATCGAATCTGGTGATATAACATTTTTAGGGTTTTTTGAGACGCTAAACACGAATCCGTTGTAAAAAATTAGCTAATGTAGCTTTTTAAAAAAGTTTTAGTACAAAAACATGGTTTTTTTAAAACAAATTCAGCCATATAGCAATAACAGTGATAACTGATAAAAGCTATCAAGGCCATTATCTCCTTACTGATAAGAAATAAGTGATGATTGTGGGCGAAAAAATTGTAGGTTTTAGCGAGAGTTCTGCTCTATCGCATATGGGGTACGAATTTACAAAAAAATCCGTATAAATGTATAGAAAAATATCCAAAGTGATTCATAGATTCAATTGAATAGGAAGATTTCATTCTTTGATACAAATAAAGACTTTATTTAGAATTTGAATATATGAGCCTAATCATCATGAAATTAAATGCATTATGAGAAACGTGATTATTTACCGCGAAATTCTAAAAATATCTAAGATCAAAAGAATAATGCATTTGTATGAACACACGACGCACATACTTTTCTGAAAAAAAAGCTTATTGTTTGAATTTATCATTGTTGTGAATCAATTTAAAAATATTGCCAATTAATGTGTCCCACTTCACTAAATTCGATTTATTGTATTAAGAAACGATTGAATACATTCAAAATTATTCAGTTAACAAATGATTCAATGTGAAATTCTCTTTTTATTGCCCATTTTGCTTTTGTCGTGAGTGCAATTTAATCAATGCGATACGAGTAGCAAAGTTCGTCTTATTGTTGATAAGAATTTTTATCGTTGTATTTGTGATGCTCTGCTAAATTCTAAATAACAACCACTTGGAATAATGCCACGGTGACCAATCAGCGGAAATTATATTTCAGTAATTTCAAGAAAATCGTTCATCGTTAAGGATATAAACGTTGAGCAATTTTGCGTTCGTGCATATTTCAATGTGAATAGTGCTTAAAGTGACATAAGTCAAATTGCGTTAAGTCACGAATGTCCAACTGTTTTTTGTTTATAACTTTATTTACATCGTTCCATTTGTCAATGGGCGAAATTACATTTGATTGTTCAATTGATTGCATCATTGAACCTTACTTAAATATCAATCTGAATTTTACACAGCATTATTCGTCGCTCAGTCAGTAATGCCGTTGGAAATTGTAAGCCGCAAAGAATGGGGTGCAAACCCACCGAAATTTGTTAAGAAGGTGGGCAAAGCCGTAAATTTTGTGATCATTCATCATACTGCCACACCTCAATGTGACACAACAGAACAATGCATTGCATCATTGAGCTCCATTCAAAAGGTCCATCAGAATACAAACGGATGGTCTGACATTGGTTATAAGTGAGTTACAAGTTTCTCATTTTAATTCATTTTGGAAATTATTCACTTTATCCGATTGATAGTTTCATCGTCGGTGGAGATGGAAAAGTGTATGAAGGTCGCGGTTTCAATGTAATCGGCGGTCATGCTTCTCAATTTAATGCAAAAAGCATTGGAATCAGTCTCATTGGCAACTGGAATGGTAATTGACATTTTTTTAATGATTTATCGATACAAACAATTGAAGCTGTGAAAATGTCAACATTTTGTCTTTAAATTCACAAAATTGTTTGATAAATGTGTCAATATTTTCAACTCTAAACTTTATTTGTTTTTCCATTTTATGTTATTTTAATTTCGAATCGAATATTAAAATGTTCCGTTTTGCAGACGCAGTCCCGGGACAGAATATGTTGAGAGCAACACAAGAAATAATCGATTTTGCTGTTGAGGAGGGTCATTTAGCATCTAATTATCAACTACATGGTCATCGACAAGTATCACAAATTTTATGCCCAGGCAATGCATTATTCAACGAAATCAAGGATTGGCCGCATTTTCCTGGAAAATAAAGAAACACACTTTTCAAATCCTGGCTGAAAAATTTATTCATCCGATGTTCAATGTCCATATATGGATTCTATCAATTACTTTTGACGACGAAAATGGATGCATTCACCAACTAATAAAAAAAATTCATTCAAACTGTCAATCAATTTAAAATAAAAATATTCATCAAATTTAAATTTATCTGAAGAATAAAATAAAACGTTGTTAATTTCATCGCTTTTTAAATCGGAGATCAGTGTATGATGGATTTATTTATTCATTCGGCTCGTATAGTGCCCTATTTATGACCGTGCTTGTGTACAAGAAGAACTTTGAATGACGATTTATTGATAATCCATAGTAGATACTATCAGGTAAAATACCTTTACACGAAGATAAAGTGGTGTGAAACTCCTGTGGATTTGCCACCCAAAACATTGTTTTAAAAACAACTGATGTAATTTTGCACGATGCTAGGACACTGATCCATCTCTGTATACGTGTAGAAGTGTATCTCGTATTTACTTTTGTGAAAAGTTGCTTAGAATAAGGAAGAATATATCTCGCTTCAATACTTTTGGCGAAACATTTAAGATCTTGACATAAGAATTAAATTAAAAAGTCGTATACCACGATATCCTTTTCCTGTGGATAAATTTTCGCAATATTGAAGAGTTTCATGTAAAAATAATATTTTTTCCCTGCTATACGATCAAATTCGAATTGTTATGACATTCGATTAAAGAAGAAATCTGAAAAATTGCGTACTTACTCAAACTTTTACATCATTGTTTGATCATGTTGAAAAATGTATATCAGATACAGAACAATTGAACAACATGTAGGATTTTAATCTGGACTCAACGAAGACTGTTTGGTCAGCATCTTCAAATACTTGAATTATTCTGATTTGCTTACGATTTGCGATTTGGATAATGATAAGGATACATCGTTGACGGATGTCATAAATCGTCGTGTGATCAGATCAACGAACTCTGATTTTGGGCGATCGCCAGTCCATCGTGTGTTTGGACTTTTTGGCCGGTCAATGCAAAGATTTAAGGTAAATCAAATTGAGTTTGAATAAATTCAACATAAAATATATCATTTTGTGTGCACTTTGATTAAAAAAATTTAGCTACAGACGTCAGCAAAAGAGTTCAGTGAATTCTTGCGAAATGTCATCAGATACTGCCCGGTGCCGAACCGTTTGCGCGAAGTCATTGTAATTGTGGAGAGAAACTACGGAACATCTTTGAATTTCGATCGTAATCTATGGGAACAAGTGCGGCCAATATTCGAACATCTCGAAAGATTTGAAATCAGATGTTTTCCCAAAACAAAATACTGGTTAAAATCCTGCACTTCAATGCCACAATTCTTCGGTCAACATGATTTGTCCAACCTCAAACAGCTGACACTCGAAGATTTCAAAAGTCGCATAACCTGGATGGAGTTGCTTCCAAATCCACAAATGTGTGCGAACATCATCGAATTACGGTTAATCGATATCCGATTAACCGAACATATGAATGACTTCCATAAGCTCCTCGATCGTCTACCAAATCTTGAAGTATTCATTCATACGGGCGGTAGACTAGGAATTACTCCTGTTGCTGAAGAGTTGCATCGACGATTCCCAAATTTACGTGGTTTTGGGTACAGCATTTACACTCATGATCGAACAATCAATATCGATGAAGACTTCAAAATTATCGAAAACTTCAACAATTTAACCGAGTTCCACTTGGGAGGTTATACATGTTACAATGTCGGCAGTATCTTTCGATTTGCACCAAACCTCAAAGTGCTAAGCATGTGGCAAATAGAATATTTGTTGCACGCTCCAGCTGAAGTTCGTCGTATCGTAAAATCAATCAGACAAACTGTTGCCAATCACCGTGACTGCTTTCCAGTCAACAATTCTGTTCACCTGATTGTCAATCAGATGCAATATAACGAATTCGCAACCATCAAAAATATTGATAGCATCATTCGCCTTACTGTACGTGAATAGGACTCGAAAAATCGACACTGGAATCGAGTGAAAGAAGAACAAGGCAACGACGACATCAAACAGTTTAATCAAATCTTATTTGAAACATTCATTTGAAATGTATAAAAACAGGGTTGGGAGTATTGCTACTTGGTTAATTTTTGAAATTAGACACATTTTTGACACTTTCTAACAATGGATTTGATTGTTCACTGATTTATGTCAATCGCATTCCCTGGCTAAACCATGACCAATCCAAAGTTATGAATATTTTTGCAATTAACTATGGCCAAAAACCAACCAAGTAACATTACTTCTAGCTCTGGAAAAAATAATCCAACAAAAGGTTAATTCCGCTTCAAATACTATTTTTACTTTGAAATCAAAACAAACGACATTAACCAGTTTAGCCACATAATATTTGAAAAATGTTAAAACATTTTAGTTCAATTAATAGAAAAAATTATTTTAATTTCAAATTTTTAATTTTTTTTTTTCACAATAAAATTAAACACAATAAAAGTCAATCTATATAAGGGAACATTGGCTAAGATGGACAGTTGGCTAAGACGGACACCAAGTCAAATTTTTGACAGATGACGTTCAAATGTCAAATTGATCAGCGTCCAGTTGATCATTCATTGTGAGCTAGTTTTTGGTGTGGTTCCGAAGAGTAAAAACGTACTCTGTGTCTGTGAAAAAAATTTCGACTAAAATTTTCTCGAAAATTCTTTTTTCTGAACACCTTTGATTTGACCATAGAGTGAATTTTTTTCGAAAAGTTTGGAAGGTAAATGTATCAAATGTTTTGTTTTCTATTCTAATTCCATCATACCACTTGAGTTTTGATGTTTTTTCATCATGGAATTTTTTTTTTGGCGTCATTCACAAAATAACGTATTTTGGCTAAGATGGACACCCATAGATTTTTTGTGTTTTGTACTCAGATTCGATTTTTATGTCTTAATATCATGATTAAAGCAATCCAATTGCACTTCAAAAGCGAATTTATCCAAATTTATCACGTTTTTAATGCATTTAGTGACCAAAAAGGTATATCGATTATAAACCTCCTTCGAGATTTTCTGGGTGTCCACTTAGCCAATAAATTTTTTAATGCCCTACTAACTTTACTTTTTGTGTTGAAAGCTTATAAATTAATGAAAATTGAATTAATTCATAGAAATAGGCATTGTAATTCAAATATTCGTCATATTTTTCAAATTTTAATCTTTTTGAACAAATTTTCGCAATTAATTTGTATGGGTGTCCATCTTAGCCAATGAAATTTTTTCTTGACCGTTTTCGGATGGTCGGAAAATTTGCGATACAATTTTTTTTTGCACTACAACAGAAAAACTCTCTTCGGCAAAAAGTTTTCATTTTCCATCCTCTTTCGAGCCCTATTGTCAAATTCAAGAAATATGCAAATATAAAAATTTTATAGCCAAAATTCAAAGTGGTGTCCATCTTAGCCAATGTTCCCTTATATAAAACTGAATGTTTGTATGTATGTTCCGGGTAATCTTCTGAACAGCCCAACCGATCCGAAAGTGCAGCGTATCGTTGGAAAGGTCTTGAGTGCGCGCAGGTTTTAGACACATTTTTGGGACATTTCTAGGAAATTTTGTCACAAATGCTACAAATGTCCTAAATGAAAAAAAATCAGTTTTTAATCATTTTGGGACAGGATATTTTTGTGACATTTGTCACAAATGTAAAAAAAATTTCTATGAAGATGTTGGGACAATTGTCACAAATGCTAAAAATGTCACAATTTTCACTTTGAAATATATTTTGACACCATTGTCACAAATGTAAATAAATTTACTTTGTGAATATTTTGGGACAGTGCATATTTTTGAATTCAGATGAAAAACCGTTAATAATAATAGTGTTCATTTGGTCGATAAATTTTGAAAATCAAGTGGCCAAGCGCTGTTGCCAACAAGAAACAGAAGAATGTCTGGTCCGTCGACTGCGTTTTAACTGGCGATATGCTCAGAAAGTTCATAACAAAAGAATTTTTGCCGAAATATTCCGACGAAAAAACAATTTTGTTGACCGGAGGTCATGGGAATGAACACGGCTTGAATTACATCAATAAAAGGGGTCAGATACTATATGATAAAAAGCTTGAACATAAGGACGGATTAGAGTATGATGAAAGGTCATTTTATGAGCATGATCAATTGACTATAAAAAGTATGGTGGGAATGTCTTATAAAGAAATTGCAGATATCCTGCAAGGTGAGAATCACGTCATTTTGGCCTACTGCTTTTCGCGAAATGACGTGGTATTGCGTTGGGTTTTTGAAGCCATGCCCGTTGTATCATTTGATTATGATTATGATAATACATAATCATACTTTTTTTCGTTGATTTTTAACTATTTTAAATGTTTTATTTTGCATGCAATATTTATTTTTCTATTTATTCAATTTTAAAATTTTTATGTGTTTTTATTTTGCATGTAACTCCAACTCGCTTGAAGCAGAGACACTTTGACGTAGTGGGCGAGCTTAGTACATTGATCAAAATGGAAGCCAAGCACTCTGCAAACGAAACACAAATCATAAACCCTAATAAAGATTTCTGTATTCTGAAAAGATTGAATCGATTCTAGAGATTACGTAGATGTAGAAAATGATCAAAAACATAACGATATGTTGGGTGCAAGCAGTTATCAATGGAAATTAAACCAAACCATCGTTCAAATTAACTTTCTGAAAAATTAACAAAGAACAAACTTGAAAATCCCTGCTTGTGCTCAAGATCTCCTATTCCACTAGATGTCGAGGCGCGCGAAGTGCGCCTCGACGTCTATTACAAAATAAAAATTCATATTGAATGTTCTATTTGAATTAAGTGAAATTCTACTTTTTAAAAGATTTTTCCGAGCTTCAAGCTCCTTTGTCGAAAACCGACGAATATAGGTAAGTGCAAAACCGAAGCTTGGTGAAGATCGAGCATCAGGTCCGTCAAAGTGCTAACTGAACTGTCCGTTGGCGTGAATTTCATTCTTATTATCTTGGAACTGTCACACGTAATGCACGACTTTCAACAGAGAGCTGTGCTCTTCTATCGTGGCTGCCTTCGGCATGTTTCTGAAATGTGGGGTTGAATTCAATTTGTAAAAAATGAATTTCTTAAATTAAAAAAAAAAGATAAAACAGAAGATTTAATCAAAATCAGATTTGTAAGAAGAAAACAAAACAAAAAAAACATTCATAGTTGGCGTCTTTTGAGACGAGTTAACGTTGATTTTTATATTTTGTTCTCTCAATTTCGAGTAATGAAGAGATGTTTCAAGCAACCAAATCTTACCAACAATTCCTTTTCATTGATGCAGAAAATAAAACAACGATTTTGATTTTTTTCGATTTGCAAAATTTACAGAGATTTTATTTCTTCATTTAATATATAATTGCGACCCCGTTAGTTCCATTCATTTAAAATTAGGTTTCTTATAACAAAAATGCTAAACTACATTAACAATTAAGACATTTATAATAGCTCTTTCAATTTTTAGACTAATTGTATCTTTCACAAAATTTCTATATATTTGAAATATACACTAAATTCAAGTTTGTTTGTTTTTTGTTTTAAACTCATTCTTAATGTGCACATGTACGTCATTGTGAAATGGTTATTTTACTCTTCCGAATTGTATTTTATGCAGAGTTGTGATTGTGAGTGTGGTGTGTGTGTGGGAGGGGATGTCATTCATTTATTGAATCAATAATATAATGATATTTAATCTGAAAGAAATGTTTCTTATTTTACACAAAAGCAAGTAAACTGCCTAAACCTATGCGCTAATAGCCGAATGAACTTGCATTTAACATTAGGTGTGTTTTTTTTTTGTTTTATTCATATTCGTTAAAGCGATCTCAACTCATTCCATGTGAATGTTTCTACTTCAGTTTTTTGGAATCAACTCAAACTCAATTTATCTTACGAATTTTCAATTGTTTACAAAAAAAAATCCGATTAAGTGAAATGGGCTATCGCCAGTATTATTTACAATTTTCGATTAATATTAAATCAATGTTACTAAAATGATGTTTTTGTGCTTCATCAAAAGGAAAGAAAAAAATGTTCGGTTTTTTTAAAATTAAAATAAATGAATTCCCGAAAATATACTGAAAATTGCCGAATTTTTCTATTTATTTAGACATTTTTCAATTAACGAAAAATTCCATACTTGGACCAATGTGCAAATGATTCAGGTGGCTGTCCGAAAAATTTGTTCGTTTTATCATCCATTGATTTTCACTCATTTTATTATGACTTTATGCCAGTTGCAATTTGATTGCTCTTCGAATCGGGTTGTGGGTGCTAATGTGTATTTGTTTGAATCAAACGGTGTGATTCAACGATAAAAACTAGAGATGAGTTGCTTTTGATTAGATTATTAAAAATTAAAAGAAACATTTGTGTATTTGTTCAATGTAAATTTGAGTTTGCATTTCATTAACGCATATTTCAATCCGTTGTAAAATTGTGTCAGTGTATTTTCTAAAATGAAAATAATAGTATGCGATTTTGTGATGTGTGCAAAATTTATTCAAAAGAAGGAATCTGAGGTTGGTTATTCAAGTGGTTGAATTATTTGTCGTATCAGAAACTAAAAAAAAAACCATTAAAAATTGCTAAGTGACAACCAAGCGAAAAAGAATTCATACCTGTTGTGATTTTTTTTTTACAATATATGTTTTGATGAAACCCTATGACTTGAGGCTAATACAGATCGATTGGCAGCTGATCGACTGAAAATGACCGCAACACAACCGACGTTCTAAGAATTTTTCTTTTAACTTTTAATTATAAGTAGAATCATGTTTTAATGAAAAAACGAAAGAAAAAAATTCGTGTTAAAAATATTCATGAGTTTGTTTTTTTGTTGCAGATATCAATTTACAGTGCGTAAGAGTTTTGTTTAAATAGCATCATTATTCAATTAAATTGTAGATAAATAGATTCTGTGTTGCAGCCTCTGTTGCACAAATACGTTAACATTGAAATGTTTTTTTTTTATACTTTTGAGACAAAAGTCAATGAAATCAAGGTGTTCTTTTCTTTTTATTCTGTCATAATGCCATATTTCAATTTATTGTTTAACCACACTCAATTCGATATTATTCATTTTTCGTCCCACAAAATTAAGCATTGACTTTCTCACGAATTTTTATTGTTCCGATTGATTAAATCTTTAAATTTTCTTTACTTTTGGTGTGAAAACACTTTAAAAATGAAACACCGTCTTTAGAACATTTTTTGGTGCTGCGATACAGTTCAAACTCTTTTTTTTATAAAAAAAAAAAACTAACATAAAAAGGAAATTATTTTCTTTTTTTTTAGAAAAAAATGAACAAATAAATACCTATACAGTGAATGCTTAACGATAATTTTCTTTTTCTTTATACCAATAAAGGTACTTCCAATTTTTGTTCGGAAATGTTCAAAAGCACAAGAGAAACAATTTTGTTTAGAATTATTATGCGCTGCAGCAAAGAGTTTTCGTCAAATAAATATGTTTCATTTGAGAAATTTCCAGTTCTTTTTTTTCGTTCATCGTAAAAAAAGACAAGTTTCTCGCAAGAACTTATTCACATATTTTTGCTGCACGATTTTTCGTTTTTTTTTCTCTTTTGTTCTATCCGGAGCAATATTGTTGATGCCATGGCTTTTTTTCTATAACGATATTCATTGAATATCGCATGTTTGTCACTTAGGCTAACGCACTAGCCTGCTGTGATTACACTCGATCGATTGCACAGTGATTTCCGCATATCAGCATGTGCTTCACTTCGCTTTAATTGAAGTAAACATTTTTAGCTGCACTGTGTTTTATGGCCATACACGATGTACACAAAACTGATACATGCTCCTGTTCTCTCGTCACTGGATTCTCTTGATATTCATGCGTCCATTTGGCAACGGCCAACAACTTCTGCTTTTGCTGTACCGTCAAATTCGGATTGTTGTGACCTTCCGGACGTCGAGCACCACATAACGTACACACAGTACATACTGCACAATGCCATTTGCCTGCGAATAAATTGGTTGGGAGAATGAATGGATTAGTTTTGATTGACTTGATGACAGATATAGTTATGTATGGCTTTATTATTATTATTATAGAATTTTTTGTTGGCCTAAGAGAAAAGATAGGCTAGTTAGTTCGGTATTTTCACTGAAATTCATTCTCAAATTGAATATTTTAATGAACAAATGAAGAAGAAAATGAAGAAGAAAATGAAGATGAATGAGAAGAAGAAGTAAAAAACTAAGAATGATTTTTTTTCAATGAATTTTTAGAAAGAGAATGAATTCAATTATGAAATTTAATAAAATGAATGGGAAAATTTTACTCCAATTTGAAAACAAAAGTATCGTGAAACACCGCAACTAACAATCCATTAATATTCTTGAAATTATAATTGATAATAATGATTATTATCACAGAAGTGACTTACCATTTGGAACTTTCCTCAGTCCAATGCAATAAATATGATAGCTTCGGTCGCATTGGTCACAGAATAGCATCTTGTCTTCATTCTCACTACGTCGACATTTTATACAATTTTTACACTTTTTGCATTGCCAGGCGTACTCATTAACACGGCGCACCATCCGTGCTGACATTTTTAAGCAAGTTGGATGTGCTGTTTTCAACGAGAAAAATTATTGAATAGAAATGTGAAAATTTCTTAGGAAATCAATAGAAATTCAAATATGCTCAAAATGAACGTGCAGTGAGGTAACTACGAAGTTGATTTTTTTTTGGTTTGAAAAGAATCTTTTTGATGATGACCTCATCTCTAATATTTATCAGCATGAATGTTTCGAGATAAGAAATTGAGTCGTTTTCATCTTTAGTAAAGATTCTTTACGTTGTTCCACCGTTATTAAACATTGTTTAGTTAACAATAAACTCCTGAAAACTTACCGTTTCCTTTACAATTAGTACAGCTAACAAAAATCTCTGGTTTCTGTTGTTGATTGCACCGTTCAGGTCCATCACAAATTTGACATTTCTTCCGCTCACTCTTGTCAATTTTCGGCACTAGTTTCGAACTATCTGTCGGTGGTTTTATATCCAAATTGGTTTTGTCGTCGATTTTCTCTGCTTTTTTAACTACAACTTCTTCGTCACTAGACTCATCGCTTGAACTGCTCGAATCCTGTGGAGAAAAAAAAAACAGAATATTTAGTAAGAAGTTTATAGCGTGAATAAATGTATCAGTCAGCATGTCCATAGCCATATTGTGGAACCAATGGATATTATTCACAGAATGGATTAAATACGTAGCATAGATCTGTAACGTTGCATAACAAATCTATAACACGATTGCTTCAAAAAAAATTAGCTTGACCCATGCTGCGTAAACCACCCAAAACACTTACATCTGAACTATCGGAATCATCGCTATCACTATCCGACGAACAGCTGCTGTCACTGTCGTCTCCACTTTCGTCGATGCTGTTGTAATGCGATCGTCGAACTCTATTGTAATACTCTCGCAGTTTTTTGTCTAGTTGATACGGATCCGCTAGAACTGTATTGATTGGATAACACCTGAAAAAAAGACATAAACATGTTATTATCATTTTTGGAATGATTAAAATTATGGTAATTATCAGGCTTAGTCACTGCAGCCCTCAACATGCAGAAAAATGATCATAATTGATGGTGTTCAAACGATGAATGAGATTCCACAGATATACTTACAGTAGTTCAGCTGCACTGTACTTCCGATAGTGCTCTTGGAACTGGCCAGGAACCAGTGCAACGGGATAGTGTGAAGGTTTCGTTACTGGACGGTTTTGTCGATTTCGATGAACCTCTGGGACTTGTATCACGAAATTTTGTAGATCCAAACATTCGTTTCGATTTTCCGTTCGCCTGAAGAGGAAGACAAAGCCATTAGTTTTAATTAAATTGAACTTAGAGAAGGGTCTTATCATATTTTTTTTAACCAAAATTATGATGTGACCCTTGCAAAGTTATGAGAAATGAAGCCGAATTGAATTTTTGAATTAACTCTCAAACGTTTGGTTCCATTTGGTCACTTTCGATTCAACGTATCAATTTCGCTTCACGATCGGAAACAGCATTCCCCGTTATACTTACGATCGATTGAAATCAGTGTTCCACATAGATGCTGCTCGCATCGCATTTTCTCGTGCACTCAGACTTTTGCCGAGAATTCCGGCCTGCATTTGCTTCTGTCGTGCGGCCAAGTCTCGTATTTGTTTCTCACGCAAGTACCTTCGATACTCTTCGTATTTTTCGTAAAAGTCATTGTTCATGATATCCAAAATGTCACTTGCTAGCACAGCGGTTAAACCTAAATCGCACATTTTCTCCGAAACGAGTCCCTTTTCCAAAAGGTAGTTTCGTTCCTCCATTTCCACCATGCGTCGCGGCAAATCCGGATATTTTCGCTTAAAACTTTTCACACCCAAATATTCGGCAATCTGCTCTTGGACCATGAACGTATCACGATTTCGAGACGGGCAGCATCCTTTTGGCGGTGGCCAATCGTATTCGGCTATCATATCCACGGTGAATTCCGTCCTTCTGTTTTTGGCGATTGGAAATTGGATTAGTGAACAGAAATAGATTTGGTCTTTTACTTTACTGCACTCTCACGTCGAACGTAAGGGCATTTTCAGAAAAGGTCAATGCATAAAGAGATAAATACTCGGCATAAAGTTATAGCAATTGCATAGAGCAATACATACCCTTCAGGATCGACTACTTCAATTTTCGATCGGATTTTCTTCGCTGAACTTTCAACCGTTGCACTTGTACTACTGTGTAATGAACTCTGTGATTCGTCATTTTGAAGGAATTCGGTTGTTCTGCAACATGAAAAATTGAGATTAGTTTTTTTTCACATAAAAAAGATTAAAATATTTAAGTTGAACATTGAACATTCCAATTAATTTGTTGGACAATTTTTTCGATATTTTTGGTCGATATTTTTGACCCAAACAAATCTAAGAAAAATATGTTTAAACTAAAATATTTACCTTAATGAGGGTGAAGCAAATAGTGAGTCAGCACTCATGCGTGTGTCTTCTTCGAACACTTGTAGACCGGCCGTGGTTGGTGTGTCTTTTGGCACCACTTTGCGTAGTTCCTGTAATTTACGAATTGAAAAATGAATTTTATAAATGCCATGGCATAATTTAAGGAATTTCGATTTTTGAGTATTGACAACTGCC